CTCGTGTGTGTGTGTGTGTGTGTGTGTGTGTGTGTGTGTGTGTGAAGTGGGGCTGGCTCAGCTCGCATTCAATCCTCGGAATGAGTAGAAAAGACCCAGTTCTCCGCTGTGTGTGACCCTGAGCAGGATTCATCCCTCTGTGAGCCTCAGCTTCTCACCTGGCCTCGCTGGGGAGGGACTTCTGAACTCCTCAGGGCTGACATGAGGGGCCAGGAACCCTCCCGGTGAGAGGCGGGGCAGGACTCCTGGACTAGAACTGCAGAGCTAGTGGGAGCTGCTCCCACCAGACCCGCCGGGGGCCCAGCCTGGGCTGGGAGCAGTGGGTGCTGCGGGCAGGGGGCTTGGAGGGTGGCCTGGGGCAGATACTGGCTAAGGGTCCAGGTTGGGCTTCGTGGATCTTGGGCCCTGGCGACATGGACCCGTCCTCCCCGGAACGAGGAGAGGAGAGAGGCCGGTGGGGGCACTGAGCTTCCGACTTCATGTTCAAGTAACGGCAGTTCCCGGGAAGGATCCACAGCGGCGCTGGAGAGTGGTAGGAGGCCTGCAAGCCCGGCGGGTGGGCGTTTGTGCAACCCCACGTGGCTGGGGCACAGCAGACCTGGGTAACCGCTGGCATTTGAGCTAGGCCGGAGTGCTCAACCTGTCCCCTAGTTCTTAGGTTTCCTGTTCTGATGAAAAAGCTTAAGATTTTTACCTTTAAATATAAAAATAATCTGCATAGAGTTGAACATCCAAGCCCTGGAAAAGATACAAAATGGTAGTAAAATCCCCTTCCCTCACCCATCCCTCCAGTTCCTTTGAATCTTTCTGGACATTTCTATCCACACACACAGCTGTCACTGCTAGAACAGGCAGGACCATATGCAGTTCCGTTTGCCGTCTGACCTCATGGCTCCTGCAGTGGAACGAGCACCAGCACAACAGGGAACGTGGTCCTGAGGGGATGTGTGTCCCCCTGGCCGCACCTCGGAAGGGCTGTCAGGGTAGAAGGAGTGAGCCTGGGAGCGGGGGAGGCGCGGAGCCGCCGCAGGTGTTTCTTTTACTGGACGCGGCTCATGGCCGCGTTCAGGTTTTGCTTTTCACCTTTGAATCTGTGAGAAAATGAGCAGGAAAAAGCAAAAGGCACTGGTGGTGGCACACCCAGCACTGCTGGGTCAGGGTTCGAGTCCCTGTGGTGTCCTTGCTTCCTTCCAGCTCCCCCTCCAGGCCCTTCCTCCCACCCCATCTGGGACATCATTCTCCCCAAGGACAGATGTCAGGGTGGGGTGCCTCTCTCTCAGGAACCCTCCTGTTCCACTGTCCCTCACCTCACGCAGGTCCCCCCCCCAGAGGGGTGAAGGAGATGGAACAGGCTTCACGCCTTGAGGGCAGGGAGGACAGTTCTGCCTTCCAGGCTCCCACTCCCACACCCGTTTGCCAGATGTCTCCCCTCTTTTCACCTGGAGTTGGTATGGGTGGTCCTTGTGGACGAGGTGGAAGATGTTGTGCATCTGAAAGGACACCACAAAGCAGGGTCGGTGGGAAAGCATTGGGTTCAGTTTGCCGGGAGTGCAGACTCGTGGGTCCAAGGCTGGAAAAAGGGTTGGGCTCTGAGGTGTCTGCTTTTCCCACATGTGAGTCTCAAGTGAGGAGATGCATTTGAAAAATTCCGAAAAAATGTTTGGATCTCAAACTCAAGATGATAGTTGTTTTATTTATTAACAATAATTTAGCCTGGCTGGCATAGCTCAGTGGTTAAGCATCGACCTATGAACCAGGAGGTCACAGTTCAATTCCCAGTCAGGGCACATATGGGGTTGTGGGCTTGGTTGGGGGTCCAATCCCCAGTGGGGGACATGTAGGAGGCAGCCAATCAATTATTCTCTCATCACTGATGCTTCTATCTCTCCCTCTTGCTCTCCCTCTGAAATAAAAATATATTTTAAAAAACAATAATTTATGTTTTATGCCGGAGTCTATTTATTGTCTTCACTAGCTGAGTATAGACAGAGACCCCCAAAAGCTAGTAACCTTTGAAGCCCTAACAAAGGTCAGGGCTGTGCACCACCCAGTTAATGTAGACACCACCCAGTTAATCTAGATAATGGTAGCTGAAGCAGCATCCCCACCTTAGTTCACTCAATTCCTCAGATACTTATGTAAATCCTTGTTGATTATTGTTGATTAGATATTCTGCCTATTTCTGGAAATTGTCTGCTGATGAGCTAATCTGTGTGTCACTGAAACCTCCTTACCCTAAGGGCTACTCCAGATCAATAAAAGATTGGAGCGGCCTGAGCATCAGTGGAAGTCCTTTTGGACTTGCCCGCCTGGTCCCCCAATATTTCAAAATTATCTCATGTCATTTTTCTCTCATTTGTGTGCGGCTCCTCTTCCAGACCCCGAACCCTGAACCAAGGCGGAACGTGGAGGGAAAACACACCCAACAGTTTTATTCTGTGCTTGACACTGTTCTAAATGCTTTATAAATACAGGGATGGGCAAAAGTAGGTTCACCGTTGTATTATGACATTCTTTTGAGTTAATAAAGCTATTGTAATAATTATAACTGGCATGTCTTTCCATATAACTGTAAAACTACTTTTTCCCACTCTGTATATTATTTAATTCTCACATGAGTAGGTTATTTCCATTCTCAAATAAGAAAAGTGAGGTAAGGGACTGTAAACTACGGAGCTGGAATTTGAACTCAGTCTGACTCCAAAAAATATACCAGGCCAAGATCTAGAGTTTTCCATACTTAAAAGTCTACCTTTCTGGAACAAGCTTTTCCCAGTTTTGGTTTTATACAGACACACCCAACACTATGTTCAGTGAGAGTCATACATATATCTTGCAATCTCACAAGCTAGTAATTCTTTTTACACAACTTCACAGAAGAGAAGGATTAGGCTAGGACCGGGTAAATTCTGAGTTAGCATTCAGACCTAGAGTCCCCCAACAATCTGTGACGTAACTCCTCTGCCTTAAGGACCCACTTGGAGTATTTCTCTTTCCAACACAGCACCCCAGTGCTGGAGCAGGCCGCAGGATGACAAAGCAAGAGGGGCTGCCAGGCGGCTCCTTGTAGCTGGGCCACGTGGTACCTCCCAGCCGCCTCCTCTGCTCCTGGCTGCACCTCCAGCCCCGTGAGCCCCTTGCACACTCTTCACGAACTCTCGCTTTCACCCTTTCTGTGTCAAGGAAAACACGAGGTTCCAGCTGAGGACTCGTTGCTCCGAGGCCCGACAAATAGCTGGGCTCCCACCGGTGCTAGCTAAGCGGCTCCCATTGTTGTATTGTACCCCGAGAATCACAGAAGGACGCCTCAAGAAGTCGAATTAAAGAGTCACATTTATTGCAATCCGGGCCTATGAGGGGCCATTCCCAAATCTCATAGTAGCCATTTGGTCACAGTTCCAGGGTTATATAGGCAAAAAATCACAAAGGTATTGATTACATCTCAGGGTTTGGAATGTGGCACCTGGCTCACAAAAAAGCAGATTACAGAAGCAGAATTAAGCATGTTAATTACAGTTTCGGGTCTCGGGGTCACTGAATTGACAGAAATACATTATCTAGAGCCCTCGGGTCTCGAACCACTGAGTTGGCAGGAAGTCATTATCTAGAGCCATCGAGGTAATTTAGAGTAATTGCGCTGTCCTGGTCTTAGGACCACTGAGTCAACTGGAACGCACCATCTGTGGCCACTAAAACAGTTTAGGATAATTGTGCTGTCCTGGTTCCCAGGTACAGAAGAATGTGCTTCGATAACCAGTAAGATCACAATCAATGGGATAGTCATTCAATCAATAAGGCATTCAATCGAATGGGATGACATACAATTTAGAAAATCAAAGTAACCTGTCCATTGTTAAACAAAGCAAATAGGTACCATACTTCACCATCACCTGCCGCCTCCCACCGTCCACAGGGAGCCCGCTTTGCAGAGCCTGGGAGCGCCCTAGATGGGCGGCGCATGCGCGGCGCGGGGTGGCGCGGAGGGCTGGGCGTGGCCTTGGCGGCCGGCGGGAGGCGGTGACGCAGGCGCCCCTAGTGGTGGGTGGGTTCACGCCGTCACTGTTGCCTCCGGATTCCGTTTCCACGGTTACGGCGGCGCGAGGCGGTGCCACAGGTAAATCGTGTTTCAGTTGAAACATGAATCCTGAGGGACTGAGGCTGCAGGACGTGGGGGACGGGGAGAGAGGGAAGCGGGCCTGACCCGGTCGCGGGAGGAAGGCCGGCCCCGCGCGTGCCCTCCTGCGGCTCTAGTCCGTTCCGCCCACCATTCCCGTAGGAGGTTGCCCGTCCACTAGCGCCCTTCAGCCCACGAACTGGCCTGGATCCCCACATCCTCCCTTGCCTCCGCCAGCTGCCGACCTCGCTCTTCCCTGCCCCAAGTGGCGACCTCACTCACACGCCTGAAGTGACTGGCCTGGAGGCCGCTGCCCAGATCGGGGTCAAGATGATCGTGTGATCCTGAGCGTCCCTAACGCGCCGCCCCGTGGCTCCCCACAGAGCACTTGACTCCCCCTTTCCTCCCCAGGCCCCTGTAGCCTCCCTGGAGGGCCTCGCACCGGAGCCAAGGTCGTGCTTCCAGCGGGTTCTCCCCTAAGGATGCAGCCACCTTGGGCCAGTGTGGGGTCGAGGCCTGACGACCCGGAAGTAGTTGGCCGCATGCTAGGAGGTGAGTGGGACTACAGAGGCCCCAAACTGGTGTAATTCATGACCTGTAGACTTATTTATTTGCCTTTCACAGTGTCTAACATTTTCTAATTTAACTTACAATATCTGAAGGTCAGCTGATTTTATGTTAAAATTCAATGTGTGGTTTTGCTTCCAAAATTGGGGAGAGTCGAGCCGATGTGGTTCAGTGATTGAACTTCCACCTAGGAACCAAGAGGTTCCGGTTTGATTCCCGGTCAGGGCACATGCCCGGGTTAGGGCTTGATCCCTAATAGGGGGCGTTTCTCTCATTGATGTTTCTCTCTCCCTCTCCCTTCCTCTCAAAAAAATCAATTTAAAAAACATATTTTTTAATTGAGGTGATCTGGGGACAATGGGCCTGTGTTCCCACATACCAACAATCTGCCATAGCTGAGAAGTGGCTGCTCTCTATGGAAGGCTCTACAATTTGCTATGGTCCTCAAAGCCAATGTCAGTTACCATTTATCATCAGTCTTGAGCTATTATTTCTTATCTATACTAATAAAAGGGTAATATGCTAATTAGACCGGGAGACCTTCGGGACATCCTTCCCAACAAAGCCATGGTGGTGGGGCTGGGGCTGAGGCAGAGGCGGTTAGGGGTGATCAGGCC